AGGGTGTCAAACCCTCCCTGACAGCATATCAAGGTTGTAGGAGAAAAGGGAAGATGAGAAGAGAGAAGGATAGAGAAACAGACAAGAAAGCCCGGAAGAGAGATTTCAGGGAGAAATATGTATTTCTATTTAATATGGAATTATAACTATTACAACACAAGGAGAAATAAGTTCTTGATATAAACTAATCTTTTATTTATATTGGTCAACAGGATGTGAGGATTTGTTGGTGGCACCTGACACTTGTTCGTATAAATCAAGATTCTCTCAAAAATCTGCTGTTCACCTCCCCTCTATACCTCTGTCATAACATAAACAAAAAACAAACATTTCCTCTATGTCTCAAAATACAATCTTCTTCTTCTTCTTCTTCTTCTTCTTCTTCAATTTGAACACAGGATCATTTTGTGGTGATCCAACGTGGCAGAAAATTCCATCATGGATCATGGGGAGTCATCTACTGACGTGATTCATGGACNCACACAGGATCATTTTGTGGTGATCCAACGTGGCAGAAACTTCCATCATGGATCATGGGGAGTCATCTCCTGCCGTGATTCATGGACAATGCCAGGAACTTCCTGGAAACATGACGGATGATTTCTGTGAAATCAATATACTACTCCATTCGAGTGGTGCCTGGGGCATTGGTGCAGCCAAAAGCTTCCTACATTACGCATTGCCCCGCCTTCAGCTGCAAATAGCCATCATGTTTCTGCTCGCTCAATTCTTGCATCTCTTGCTTAGGCGTTTTCATATGCCCCGCATTCTATCTGAGCTCCTGGTATTGCTACAATTCAACTTTTCTTGATTTCTTTTGTCTATTTGATGCAGAGTAGATGGTCTAATGGATATTGATGCGATTCTTGATTTTGTTTGTAGATTTTTCACAAATCCATAGTTGCCAGATACTAATTCTTTCAAAGTTTTTATCATTTTTTCTTGTCTGCATTTCGAAGATTATTCAATTGCAAGCATATATTAATTAAATTCAAGGTTCTGATGGATGTCAAAAATAGACGGCAAATGAATGACTAACACAAACGAAAAATCCAACCTCTTGATGTTTTTGATGGTGTTTTCCGGTTTCTTCTGCGCATGTTATTCGAACCCTGCAGATATTAGATGGATACCACAAGACATTTAAATGCATGATCAAAGATTTTCAATTTCTTTATGTTTCTGTTGTCTATTTCCATTTTTTTCTTGTTTCACATGGTAAAGATTATTTTATGGCATGTGTATATGTGACGAGCGCATACAAGGTTCTGCTGGATGTTAAACATGTACCTTTTCTTGATCAATTTTTGTTGTTGCTAGCATTATTCATTTGTTTATACCTTTAAAATTAATTTGAAAAACAGAAAATTGATCAATATTTCTTACTGTTGTTTGCTTGTCATGTGATGCCTACTATAATATCAGTTCAATTCTGAAGAAAAAGAAAAACTCCAATTTTGTCTCTAGACATAAAATAACAGAAGCTATGGATTGAAATTGAACCAAGACCTATATCTGTGTGTAACGTGCTAATTGTTATTTATTTATTTTCTTCAACCAGGCTGGTATGGTACTGGGACCAACTATTCTCGGACAGATCCCAAACTTTCAAGAGACACTTTTCCCACAAGAAGGGGACGTATACATTGACTTACTGGGAAAAATTGGCTTTGTTTTCTATATATTTCTCAGTGGAGTTAAAATGGATCCTAAAACAGTGACAAGAACTGGTTCCCAGGCATGGACAATAGGAGTTGTTGCTGCCACGGCCCCTGTTTGTATTGGCCTAGTTCTTTTTAAGATACTTGAAAGAATTCTACATAGGTACCGATTGCCAACTTGTGCAAATATCATTGGGATACAAAATTCATTTGCATTTCCCGTAATTGCTTCCATGCTTGTTGACCTGAAAATCATTAACTCTGAGCTTGGCCGCCTTGCATTGGCTTCAACACTGATTAGTGATTTTCTTAGTGGTTTTGTTATAAGTATCTATTCCATTTGCACGGTTGGGTCGTACTCCTATACAGGATCATTGGCAATACAATCTATTGTCCTATCCATCAGTTTAATATTACTTATCATTTTCATGGGGCGGACCATTTCACTATGGATCATCAAAAAGACTCCAGAAGGAAAACCAGTGACTAGAGCTCATATGGTTCTGATGTCACTAATGGTTCTAGTAGCGGTTGTACTCACTGATAATGTGGGACTTCCCTATCAATATGGCCCTTTTATATTAGGCTTGGTAGTGCCAGACGGGCCACCTCTGGGGTCGACATTGGTGGGCAGGTTGGAGACTGTAATATCAGGATTGTTCACACCACTTTTGATTACTTACTGTGGGATGAAAGTAAATCTTATTGAGGTCTATGATCTGACATTCATGAGGTGGGTATGGTTCTTCATTTGCTTCTTTTTGGGAATGAAGTTACTCTCAATTTTCTGTCCAGCAGTAATGTGCAAAGTACCTGTTAAAGATGCTGGTGCTCTTGCCCTTATCATGAGTACACAGGGAGTTGTTCAGATGAATTTTTACTACAGCAATTTCATAAATGGGGTACTATCTTGTTGTTGCCTTATCTTTTTATTATTTATATAAGCTTAAGCACGGACATTGTTGAAGAAATTGTTTATCGGGGGGAAAAGGTGCAGAGAGGGTATATGCACAAGTATGCAAGCAAGTCTATAATCACCTGGAACATGTTTGGCGAGGAGGGTTGGATAGAACTTCTCAGTAGTGTAGTAAGAAAGATAAAGAATCTAAAATTTTGTTCATTGTACCATTTAGTTATGTCTAATACTATGTACCCCACACACACTGAATTTGTTTATTATTGCCACATTGAAGCAAACTCGTAACACTGTTTGCAACTTCTGATGAAACACAGACATTTGATGGAGAAACATTTTCCATGATGAATGCAGCAGTACTAATACTAGTTGCAACTTTGCATCTTATGACGAAGTTGTTATATGATAATTCAAGAATGTACACTGGCTATCAGAAAAGAGACATTCAGAACACTTCACCAAATTCTGAGCTCAGAGTGCTTTCATGTGCACATCGAATCGATGATGTATTGGCTGTCAGAAAAGTAATTGAAGCTTCTTTCCCGACCAAAGAGAGTCCACTTTCAGTCTATGCTCTGCACCTGGCCGAGCTTGTAGGCCGGGCCTCTCCCTTGCTGATTGATCACCAATTAGGCCAAAAGTCTTCCAATGTCTTACGTACACAAAAAATGATTGAAGTTCTTTATGCATATGAACAACAATACTCGGGATTGGTCACTGTGCAGCAATTTACTGCAATGTCTTTAACCAAGTTCATGCACCATGACATCTGCTCAGTTGCCTTCGACAAACTGGCATCCTTGATTATACTTCCATTTCACAGGAAATGGAATCACCAAGGAAAAGTAATATTAGATAGCAGTGTCTTGAGAGCAATCAACAATAATGTATTGGAAAATTCTCCTTGTTCTGTAAGTATTCTTGTGGATCGCCACAAAATACGCCGTATGTTGCCCCTTTCATCTGTTTACAATGTGGGGTTAGCTTTCTTTGGAGGAATTGATGACCGTGAGGCATTGGCTTATGCTAGGCGAATGGCAAAATCACCTGGTGTACATTTGACAGTGGTTCGATTAGTTCCATGGGACCTTTATCCAGGTGACAGCCAATGGGATGCAGTTCTTGATGCAGAATTATTAAAAGAAACAAGAATCCAAGGTGTGCACCAGGATAATATCGTGTACAGAGAAGAAAGGGCGAAAGACGGGGCTGAAACTGCACGTTTCATTCATGCTATGGAAGATGCTTTCGATCTAATCATTGTGGGACGACACCATTGTGACAATATGCCTCAGTTGTTAGGCCTTAGTGAATGGAATGATTTGCCAGAACTGGGGCCAGTCGGAGACATGCTTGCTGCTTCTGAGATCAATAAACCCGTTTCTGTGTTGGTGGTGCAACATCAAATTTTAAAGAAGAAATGACATGGTCACAGAGTAATCTGAAAACCGTAACAACCTTGTGTACTCTGATTGATGAAATCTGATGAAATGTGTGTAGAATTAACATCCAGTCCAATACTGGAACAGAGTTTTGATTGTGTACTGTGTTGAGGAAAATCGCCAACTAATGATATGTAGCAAATAATTTTTCCATTCTTTGCATGACAAAATGAGATTCTAACCAAGCCAAAATTAACAAAAAAATATGAAAATAAATTGTACGAGAAAGACACTGATATTTTCATGGAAACCCTCCAATGCAAAGGGAAAAACCACGAGACCTTATCATTTATTCTTTGATTCAACAAATAGTCTCCGAAGTCTGATTTTATTATTCATATTAAATCTAGGACTGGCATATATTTATTAACATACGATCTTATCATTGGTTGTGCATATTTTGTTTGTTTGTTGTGGTCTACGTGGGCTATATTATGGGGACATGCTATGATTGTATTAGTTTTTGCATGTGATACATTAATTTATTACAAGGCTTTCTAAGCGTTTCAAGGTTTGTGGCATGTGCGCATTTATTGCATGTGTCAGTTAAGCATAATCGTATTCATTCCTTTTTGAATTCCTAATTGGCGCCCTTTAATATTCGATGGCTGCAATTGCCTGGGTAATTTGGATGGTTGTTATTTGTTTAAATACGCAATCCGGTGGCTTACACTCCATTTTAGAACCTATAAATACGTTCTTCCCTTTTGCGGTTTCTTTCTTACTTCTTTAGTATTTCTTTGCTTATTTGTGTCTAACACCCTTTCTCTGACAATTTTATCTTTTACATTAAAAGTTTTTTCACATTTTTCCTTTATTTTGCTCTTGTGAGTCATTTGTCAGAATGTCTTCCCAGAGCAACTCCCAGAATGTGTCACCAGATTCGGAAGTAGAAAGCTGTAGAGTTGAGGATACCTCCCCTGATATTCCCTCTTCTTTTAAGGGATCTCAACATGCTGAGGCGTTGCCTCATTCTGTAATGAATCTATCCAGGTTTGGGGCTAACTCGAATTTTTTTAAACTAGGGGTAGTTTCCAACCTAGGGTTGATGAGGGTCGTGAGCCTTCGATTGATTTAGATAAACTTAATGTTAGTAATAGGGAGGTAGCCTCAGAGTACTATTAAGGATGAGTTGAGTGAAATTCGGGTTTTCTTTGGTCTCCCTAATGACATAGAGTTGATTTGTCCAAGGCAATTCCAAACAACGGATTGCCCTTCCACGACTGTATAGCTATTCACAAACATTAGATGGATATGGTACATAGGATTCCCTTTCATCATTTTTTTCATAATGATCTTTCTTTCTTCAATGTCGCTCATACCTAACTTACTCCAAATGGGTAAGCAGCTCGTATGGTGGGGACATTTTTGCTATGGAATACAACGAGTTTGGGGGGAGAGCTTTCACCAGACGTTTTTCAATCAATTTACCATCCGTGAAGCTGGGAAATAAAGCGAATTCATAGAAAGAGTACTGCTATCTTTCCTCTCGCTCTTCTAGGACATGCTCTAAACTTATCATTACTACCAATAAAGTGCATAACTGGAAATAGAGTTTCTTCTTTGTCCACAATAATTGGGGGATTCAACCTAGTGATTCCCATCCTCAAGTGATTGTGCCTCAGTTTTATGGTGAATATAGTAAGTGTTTTTTCTTCGCTCATTTTTTGCTTTTTAACTTAAAAGTCATCTTATTTGACTATGTTGGTACAGATAAACAATCGGCTCCCCTTCGCGGTCAAGCTCTAAACAAACTTCATGCTTTGATTGAAGGGAACAATACATAACTAAGAGGTTTATTTTTACCAATTTCAAATTTAAGAACTTTGAGTTTAAAATTTCAAATTTCAAATATTTTTAAATTTTATTTATAAATTAATTAATTAAACATATATTTTACTAATTAAATATATTAAGGTCACATTTCCATATAATTTGATCACAAATTCTACATAATTGGTCACATATTATTAATTTGTCACAAATCACAAATTTTATATGTCACAAATTGTTTTATGGTCACTATTCAAAAATTTTATAGGTCACAATTTTTTCATTGGTTAC